CGAGGCTCATCCGAGGCTCATCCCCTGCCCTCGTCAGTCAGGCTCTAGCTGCGTGGGCCCTGGGTGACTTAGGCGGGGACCTGGAACCAGGAGGGGGTCTCAGAGAAGTCAAGACATAATCACAAGTCTGAGCTTTCGATGGGGCCACGGGCGAATGTTGTCTCAACCGATATTGCTTTGCAGCTTGCGGCAGGCCCACCAACAATCTGGAGCCTCGTGAGCCACGCGTGGCTCAAAGTTTACAGATTGCGAGTGCACTGCCCCTCGCGATCACTGCATGGTCGACGGTCATCGTCGCGTGAGGGTGCTGCACTGCTGCTCGTGGAGCTCAGTCCGCCTCGAGGGCGCTGTTCGGCGAAGCCACTGGAGACTCCACGAGGCCGAACTCATCCGCGGATCGCTGGGAAGAGAAGTCTTTCCACTTGGATTCGTCCCTCACCTTCCAGCCGTAGGGGACCCAGCTCTCTGGGTTCTTCGGGTCCCATGGGATGGTCGGCTCAAGCCCGTGCTGTGGCTTGGTCGCCGCTGTCGTATAGTCGGTCCAGCCCTTACTGTCCTTGATCTGCCAGCCGTGCGGGACCCGCGTCTTCTCGTCATCTTTGTCCCACCAGTGAAGCGCAGGCGGTGGTGGTGACTTACGCTTAGTGAAGTCATGCTCGTCCTCCTGCGGCAGCGAGAAGTCACGCTCCATGCCGAAGGGCCCGACGATCGAGGGGTTGCCGTCGTCCATGAGTGCGGTGGCGTACATCAGGTGCGTGATCACCTTGCCGATCTCCTCGAGCTGGCATTTCATCGCCATCACGCTGGTGCTCTGCGCCAGCTGATGATCCGTCCTGGCACAAGCCTGGGCCTCGCAACGAACAGTGGACATCTTGAGCGCGGCCTGGAGCTTCCTCAACTGCGCGAGCCCGTCCTCAACTCGATCCGATACGTCGTAGAACACGTCCGTGGTGGACCGCAGAATTTTCTGCGATGTCTGGAGGCGGAATTGGTCAGTTCCGACCTGCTGCTTGTACGTCTGATCGTACCCACGGTCCATGCTGCTAGCTGTTGGCACTGCAGATGTCGGTTCGATACTCGTGGGCTCGTGGGGTCGAACTGCAAAGCGAGTTTGAGCCCACATGTTTGCACCTGGATTGGTCGCGAGTGCTGCCGTGACGACGAGCGAAGTCACCACGGAGAGAAATCTCAAGCTGCGAGCTGCGGCTCTGTGAGTTTAGTTGCAGGGGGAGAGGGGAGGAGGAAGGGGGGGATTCCTGGGACGACGAGCCGCAGGAGGCAGGATCTGTGTACTCCCCGTCCCTGAAGGTCGATCTATCTGGCAGCTGGCAGCACCGGGGAATCGCATCGCAGGTCTGATCGAGCTCTGAACTTCGAACAAGTGTGTGGGTGTCGAGGGCCATTCTGTTTTGTTTTTTTTCTCTGGCGCTAAACGTCATCTCGATCCTCTTCGCTAGCAATGTCTGATGACCGCTGAGCTGCGGGCACTGCGGTCTGGGCCTCCTCGGGTGTCGAGGCGGCGGCTGCGGCCAGCGCGTTCTCTTCGAAGAGTTTGGCGCCCTCGATCCTCACCACGTTGCTGAAGCAATTAACCACCCATGCAGCTAGCGCAGAGATGCACATCCCATTGCCTGACAACTGTTTGATGCACGCCTCATCCAGGTTCTCGAAGAATGGCTGCATGCGGCTGCGGTAACGAGATTGCACTCCACCAAGAACATGGAGCCCCTGGGCTGCAATATGTTCCAGACCAATCGCGGCGCGTTGCAACTCCCATGACCAGACGCAGCCATGCTTGAGCTGGCATGGGAACTCCCTGCCGTGAGAAGACCGCGTGTTCGGCCAGTGGTCCAGGTCCGCAAGGAATTGATTGTCTGAGTAACCAGGCTTGATCACATCATAAGCCGCATACCGCTGTCGGTTAACAGGACACAGTGACTCGAATACTTCATCACCGCTGATAGGTACTGCGTTCAGGTCGTCAATGTGAATGTGTCGCATCGCCAAGTTCTTCGCTGTGACCTTCTTCAAGTAGTCAAGGTTGGCGCCAATGTACATCGAGCCGCTGCCGACGACTCTGGCCCCGAAAATTCTCTCGAACTCCTTCTGAACCTCCTCGTGGCTCTCTGGACCGATCCACTTCAACCGCTGGCGACGGCACCCAAATGAGAATACCCTTGGACGGTGGTGCGGCTCACCTTGCTGAAGAAGCCCCCATTGTACCCAACTGGCTTTGATCCACTCCTGCATCGGACTGGCGAGCTTTTCCTGGACTGGATACCGATGGGAACACTCCTGGAAGAAGCAGTCCTCCTCGCCAAGCTCTGCGAATCTGACCTTCTGGGCAATCCACACGTTGTTAACACGTTCCGATGGGTGGGAGAACTCCTTCAAAACACTTTCAGAAACAAGGCTCCAACCCACGCACGTGTTGCCTGCCCAGTTCACCCGTAATTTCCGTTGGTCGCTGTCGGCCTCCATCGGCGGCTTCGTTGGGCAGGGTCGGCGATGGCACAGGCAACTTGTCGTAGATCCTTTCGGCCAGAGCCAGCCCCTGTTCGACAGCAGCCAACTGAGCATGTCCTTGTGGCACTTCGCGGCGCACAGCCTCGCGTCCGCCACGTCCGAGCCTTTGTCGATGGTGGGCATCATCATGTCTAAGTATGCCCTGGCCACGGCTGGCAACGTGTCCTCGACGTCGCCAAATACGCAGGAGATCCCTCCATGAAGATGGGCAGCGGTCCACGGCAGTGCCCTTTGAGGTAGCTTACCATTGTCGCACGACCTCTTGAACTCGAAAGTCAGGTGATGGATCGAAGGCTCGTCTGGGAAGGCGTAACGCAAACCTGCACATAGTTGCTCACACAGCTCCCGCGGCATCTCGCATCCAGAATAGTCGCCACTGTTGATGGCGCCGTGTCCAAGCAGCGCGCGCAGATGGTCAGCAAAAGCGGCACCTCCGCGCAGGTCTGCCATGGGCATCCAGGGACGTTCAGGCCAGCGAGCAAACTCCTCAATGGTCGCTGGGCCAGGGCGTCCTACCTTGAACCTGCGAGTGTGGTAGAACGGCTGCTTGGCACACGAGGCGAAGTCGTCGTCGCATATCGATGCGCTGGCGTTGGCCCTTCTCTTCTGTGATCTCCCTGACATCGCGGGATCATCGCCTCAGCACCGCAGCGAAGGTCCAATGGGCACGAAGCGCGGCAGGGTGGCCTTAGGCCGTAGGCCGCCGCTCGAGCCCAACTAGCAATGGAGGAGTACTGAGTGGGGGACGGCACAGGCGGAGGCCTCGGAGTAGGAGGACGGGGGCTTTGGGGCCTGGGGATGGCGGAGTTAACAAGGTCACATCAACACAAGCCCTTCCGCTCCCGCAGCGAAACACGCGTTGCTGTGGGTTGGTGTGACAGTTTCCAAGGACCACCTCCTCCATGTTCTCTCTCCTCCTCCTCCACGTCGTCTTCCTCGTCCCTTCTTACCATATCCAGTGCCCTGCCTCGTCCCGTCATCTCCCTCCTCCACGCTACCGCCCCCCACATCGTCGTCTCCTGCCACATCGTCATCGTTTCAGCGCCGAACCCCTCCAGTGTTCCCAAAGTCCCCGAGTTCTGCGGTACGCCCAACACAGGCCGTGTCAGCTGCGATGTGTCTGGTATCATTGCATATTGTCGAGTTTTTGTCAGAAATAAAGGCTTTTGCCATTTTGAGCAATTCCCCGAGTTTCCCCGAGTTTCCCCGAGTTTCCCCGAAGTGTAAACTCGGGGGAAAACGTTGCCCGGGAGACTTTTGCGTTTTGGGCTAGGTTTTCAATCGGATCTGATAAAAACGTCTTCATGTATAAGCCCTGAACGTGATCAGTTAGAGCTCATTTCCGATGGATTTGGAGGCCCTGGAGGGCCCAAGATGGCATTTCCAGCCGGGAAACGTTATACCCCCGAGTCCCCGAGTTTCCCCCGAGTCCCCCGAGTTGGGGGGGGGGTCGCCATTTTTAGGATTTCTATCACTTTAGCTGTTTTCCACGGTGTGCAGCTATTCCGACATAGTTTCGCTGTTTTGCTGCATATCACACACTAACTGCGCATGACAGCGCATGGCCTGCCCTTGCCCCTTCGTTTCAGATCTCGCAGGGCGTGCGAGGGCGTCTGACGGGTCTGACGTCGCGAAGGGGAGAAGAGAGCAGCGGCGGCGGTCATACTTCGTCGACGGCCAGCTGCTCTCAGTTGAGCACCAGCTGGTTGATCAGCTGGCCGAGGTCCTGGCGGGGGCGCCCTCTCTCCCCACCCCCAGGACGGCCGAGGGGTTGAAGGCCCAAGAGGACTGGAGAGGCCCGAAAAAACTACATGAGGTTCCCAACCATGATGGCTCCAATCTGGCTCCAACTGGTGGTGCCAGGATCCGTTGGGATCCGTAGGGGGGTCGTCTAGGCTTCTATGGGTTGGGCATTATTGGGCATTAGGCCCTAGCCCTGAAACCTGAAAGGAGTCCGAGAGGCTCCGAAAGGAGGGGGCCTTCAGGCCTTGAAAAGCACCAGCAAGATGACTCCAGGACCTGCCCTGATCATCTATCTTGCTCCTCGCCCTCATCCCACTCGCCCTCGCTCGCACTTTCGCGACCTTGCAAACGAATGCAATCCTCGCTCTCATCCCTCGCACGTCATCCTCCTCCTCGCAACTGTCGCTAGCTAGCGGTCGTTCCCTCGTCACCTCCCTCGCCCTCCCCCCTGGTCTCCCTCATCCTCTTGGCGGGCCGCGCTGTCCTCCAGCAGCCCTGGCGGACTCCGGGCTCCAGCCAGCGGTGGGAGCGAGAGCTTGGCCACCTGGGAGCGGTTGGAGGCTCGGGGGGAGGTGCGCCGAGGTGGATGGCGAGAAGGGAGGAAGAGGGCGAGAGGGCGAGGGGAAGAGGGAAGTGGGGATAGGACGTGCATGTGCGAGAAGAGAGGAGGAGGGCGAGAGGGCGAGGGGAAGGGGTGATAGGGTGCATTGTTTTCTGCTGCATGTCACCTGCTAGTCCTTCTTGCAAGCCTCGACCTCCAGGACGGCCAGATCAGGGATCTCGTCGTTGTCCCAGGCCGTCACCACGGTGCTCCACAGCTCCTTGTGGTCCGCCTTGCAGTCGACCGTGTGGCCGAGGCTCCCCCAGTAAAGGAGACGGCGCTGCGCACCCTCGTCACCTCCGTCGCCATTCGCCGTCTGCGACTTGGTGCACTTGGTCCTGCCAACCGAGTGGCCGCACCTGGCGCAGTATGCGTTCCACCCGTTGTGGTTGCCTGTCACCTTGTTCCAGTACTTGTACAAGCTGATGTGCCGATAGTACTTGTTCCCGTGCTCGTCCTCACGGTATGCGAAGTCGCCCGCGTCGTCGTCCGCGGCGCCGCCGTCGTCGCCTCCAGGCGACCCGTCTGATTCCGAGTCCGACGTAGTAGACGACGAGATTGAAGAAGACGGAGTCGAAGTCGAAGAAGAAGAGCTCGACTCGGACTCTGATTCCTCCACGTCCGTCTCCACCACGTGGCCCTTGCCGTCGTCGACGTCGTCGAACCCGACGACCACGCCGTCATCTGCGCCCGCCGAGGGCTTCAGCTTCCGACCACCTCCGCCAAGGTAAACGCCCTTCGAGGTCTTCGCCTTCTTGAGAGCTGGCAGGCTGTCCTCTGGCCAATCCACGTCGCCTATAATGGCCGCTGGCGCATTGCCAGGCGGCGGCTGCAAGCCCAAGATCTCCATGTACGTCGCGTTGGTCCCGAAATGCGGTACCTCGTGGATGTGGGTGCCTGCCATCGGCTCGCTGGCTATCAGCAGCGCCATCAAGTAGTACCTGCTGACCGAGTGCGCCTTGAACGAATACCATTTCTTGTCTGCCAAAGCTCTGAAAGGGTTGGCAATGGCTGCCCTTTTCTCCCTGGGGTTGGGCTGAAACATGTCCTGGCTCTGAATCCCTTCTTGTCACGTCCCCCATCAGTGGGCCCTGGACCCTGGACTCCTGGACCGCGCCCTGGACCCCCGAATCTCGCTGACAGTCCTGGACTCCAAACTCCCTCCTAGACCCTTGGGCCCCCGGGCCCCTGAGCTTCCCCCCTGGACAGCACCCCACCAGTACCGATCATTGGCCAGGCACGTTTCTCGCTCAACGCAATTCCTCGAAGTCGACAGGTCGGCGTGCAGCCAGCCGTCATGCTCCATCCCCAGGATCAACTCTGCCAAGGTCGCCTTGTTGATGTCTCCGCCGGCGAACGCATCGAAGCGCTGAAGCAGGTGCGTGGGTCTCCCCAGCGATATGCCGATCTCCAAAGCTGCCTTCCCTTGGATCGTGAACTTATATGGCGGGCCGTCCAAGAAGCCTAGCTCGAAGAACGCGTCGACGAGCTTCTCGATGTGTGGGTTGAGGGAGTGTGTCGGCACGATGGCGTCGCGCGGCGCACCGTCCGGGTACCTCAAGATGCCCCTGACAACCTCATCAAGGCAATCCAGTTGCTCTCTCGGAATATGCGCCTTGAAAGGCTGGCGGAGCCCTGCTGTTATGCCAGTGCTGGTAGGGCTCCACTTACGTACCTTCGATAAGATCTCTGATGGCAGCATGGCTGGGTGTATGGCGTATGGTGTAGCATAGTCGTCGATAGCATTTCCAAGAGCATTTGCGCTCACCAGGCATTCTCGAGCCTCTTCGTCATACCACAATAGCTTGTGTAAGACCAACGTTTTGACGCCAGTGAGCTTTGGTTGGCCTGGTACCTTCGGCCTTGGAATGCGAGTAATGTCCGCCATTACCACCTTGAAGAAGAAGTACTCTGCAAACTCACAGTCCTGCTCAGCGAAGGCATCATCAGGAATGAGATCATCCTGGCAAGCTTCAGAGAGACCCCAACCGTGCTCACAATCGTCTGATGTCTCAGGTACTGCATGTCGTACTTGGAGAAGTTTCCTCAAGGGCATGAGCGCGGTGAGCTGCATGGGCATGCAATGCATTGTGCCATCTGCAGACAGCTTCTCGATCACGTGGCTCACGAAAGCGGCCCGCTTGCACGCGGCATCGGCCGTGTCGATCGGAGGGGCCTTGCCATTCAGCTCAACAGCCCCGACTTGCTTAACCTTGATCTTAGGCGATGGCATCCTGTACTTGGTGTAGGGGCCTGCGTGGTAGATCACATCCCAGAACAGCTTGTCTGAGGAATGCATCGTCTCCAGCTGCTTTGCCTCTGGATGGCGCTCGAGTCCCAATAGCTTCACAGCGGCCTTGCCAGAAGATACCTTAGCAACCATTTGAGTAAAGCGCCAGAACGTGTCCATGCTTGCGGTCATGTACGGGCTGAGGTTGGACATCCTGTTAGCCAAACTGACCAAAGCATGTCCGTGATTGTGGGCCCGCGAAACTTCATGATGTATCAGAGCATGGGTACCCTCAACCACTCTCTCTGCGCTGTTCGCAAAACGCAGAGTCGCCAAGCAAAGACGAAGCCCGGGCTTGTCGTCTGTTGGATCGCTTTCTGGATCGAATCCCACGTCTACCCACTCGTCCACTTCCGCTCTGAGTGTCGGGTGACTCGCGAGATGATCAGCAACAGGATGACAGTCAGAACCGCCTAGAACTCTGAGCCAACATTCTCGTGCCCTCTGATGGTTGCCGCATGCCATTCCAATGGGGCCGTGTGCAGACGAATCGCAGTGTGCCAGTTTGATCGTGTAATATGCGACAATATGGTTCCTGCCGCTCTCCATCTGATCGAGGATGCGCTTCGCGTCTCCCCTCGAAACGTCCGATGGGATGTTGCTGGCGAAGTCTGCGATGTGGTAGCGCAGACGGTCCTTCACGTAGTCGAGCAGCATACCCGCGCACACGTCGTGGCATCGCATGCCTCTCAGTGGGCATTTTGAAGCATGTTCTTTCATGGTATTGATCTGTTCCTCTGTAAGGTTGGATGCACACTCTTGGCCTCGAAGGCATTCGAGCCAGCCGATATGACAAGAGCACGATTCACACCACCTGATAACATCGAACAGCGCCTGTGCGATCTTCTCAAGCATACCCCAGTAGGCCCACCAGTATGGCGTGTTGATTGTATCATCCAGAACTCCCAACTTGACATTAAAAGGTTCCTCTCTACCTTTCTTTTTGCCATGAGTGTACTTGGAAGCATCCCACGCATACCGTAAGGCTGCCTCGACGTTACCAGTAATACTCAGCAGAGTGTTGGCAACTGTGCCCCATCGTTCGACATGACAATGTCCTTTGAATTTCTTGATGGGCTCGAATAAAGCTTTCAGTGCTGGCGGAGATGAGACGCATGTCGCCTCCAACCGTTCTTTCGATTCAGGATCGTCCAGAAGCTTCGACACCTTGCTGAGCCTCCAGACAGCGTCTTTGTAGTCTGGCATCACGTCCTCCAGGTGATTGCCCGCGTCGTGGCACAGGTGCAGCGTCCCGTCGAACTCCAGGCTCCAGGTCAAATTTATAAAATCCCTGCTCGGCGCTGCTGCAGGCTGAGCGAAGTCAACCTTCCGCCGACTGCCGGCCCCAACTATTGCCCGAAGCCCATTCCCCGACCCCTGACCCAGGACCCAGGACCGAGACCCCTGGAACTTCCTGGAACACTGATTTCGGGCTTCAAGCTAGTTCGGATCAAGGTCGGCGGCACCTCGTCGTCGTTCACCTCGCACTCCCTCGTGAACTCCAGCTCGTCCTGCACGGCGATGGGCTCGATGCGCGCCAAGCCGCTTTCCGTGCCCTGATCCGACAGCCAGACGGGGACAGAGCCGACAAGTTTGCAGAAGTGGTCGACGGAGGGGCTGAGCAAGAACAACTGGCGCATGATCGCGTGGAACTTCGCCGAAAGATTCGTCCGCCCAAAGCCCAGCTGCACTGCTGGGGCGACGCGCCTCATGATCTTCTCCTCGACCTTCTTCATGATGAGAGCTTCGGAGGTCCAGTCGGCGGCGCGCTGCTCTACAGTCATGGTGCTGTTGCGGCGATCCAGGTCGCTTGAAAGCCCGCGCAATGCAACGAGGTTCTGGCGGCTGATGATGGTCAGAACTGCGTTCTCGCAGTCCCTGCCTCCTTGGGGGCTTGAGTCTGGGATCGGGAACACGACGATGCCGTCCACGTCAAGCATGTTCTGGAATAGATCCCGTGCTGTGAGCATCCAGGCCACGTCGACTCTTCCCCTCATCCGCGACAGAGTCGACTTATGTGGAGACCGCCCCGTGACAGACTCCATCTCGAGCGAAACGCAGTACTCGTGAGCAAGCTCAGGCGGGAGCACTGAACGAATTGCCCAAAAGCAAGCCCTCTTCAGATGAGCATCGTTCTTCAGAAACTGGGACGCGTTGAACGCGCTCACGATCTCAATCGCGTCGTGCTTGGACCTCGCCCCTTTTCCTTCTCTTGCTGCCTTGCGGCGCAGCATCTTGTCACCATGGTGAATCAGCAAAGCCAAATGCATGTGGGCTTGGATTGCGTGGCTCATATTCCCTTGGCCCAAAACATTGATACCGTCATGCCAGAGGTCCAAGGGCACCTTGAAATTGTTCGCGATCTCGTAGGCTGCACCGGCATTCAAGGTCTTGTACATATCCAAGAACTCTTCAGAGGGCTTGGCGAATCGTTGAGGCGGAAATGAATCTTTCAACATAGTCAGCGGTTGTGCTCGATCTCCAGGTCGCGATTGAGGCCACACATTCGCCCATCTTATCTGCGTCGGCCCTAACAGGTTCGGGTCGCACAGGCTGAACGACGACTCTTGGTGACAACGAACTTGGTGATGTATCATATTCGCCCAACTCCTCGGTAAATGCACTGCGAGGGTTGGCAAGCCGTCTGTGGAGGTGCCTGCGCGTGAAACCCAATCTGGTACACGTCCACCATGCTGCGTTTCAAGGAGATCGATCACGTGTTCGACTTTCGCACCCGGTAGAAGCTTGAAGAAGCCCTTGGTCTTCACCTGTTCGAAGGTCTCGTCGATCCAGACGGGCTCGTCATCCCCAAAGGTGATGAAGTTCTTTACTCCGAAGTAGCGCAGGTGTCCAACATTGCATTCGCCTTCCGATAGGATCGCCCAGAACTTCCTCTGTTCTTCTTCGAGCCTGTTCAACTTTCTCATAGCATCCCATATGAATTTAGCTTTGACGAGCATCACACCTTTGACTTCGACCTTGTCGGCCATTGGCTCCACGTACTCCGTCGCTTCGTAATCTGGCAAGATCGCGCGCAGCGTCGCCGTCAGTGCCAAACTGTTTGGTTTATGTATGACTCGCTTGGTGCCGCCTTGGCAATCGTCTCTGCCGATGGGCACGCGGACGACGTCTGGCCACGCCAAAAGCCACATGCCGACTTCGACGTTGGCGTTCATGGAGAAACGGTTCGTCGACGATCTGGCGACGAACTCAAACAGAAATATGAAGAGGTAGCTGCAACCCAGCAACATCCTTGGACATGAAGGGGCCGAAGGGGCCCTATAAATCGGTTCGCTGCCCTCTCACAGCGAATCTGTGAGCCCAAACAGGCTCTGAGGATGGATGCTGGCATGGACGTGGCGGCGAAGTGGGACCAGAGGGGGAAGAGAAGTAGGAAGAGGATATGGACGATGGTTGCCCCGAGAATCCCCAAACATTCCTACAACATCCGTTTTTGAGCCCAAGACTTGTACCATTGAGAGTTCGAAGCCCTAACCTCCACAATCAACACATTTGCCTACCTGGTTTGAAACATCGAGTCCTGAACCGCTACAAGAGGCGACATGTATAGTCATTTTGATACGGGCCCATAGGTGTGGTCCTTTAAAGGGTTCTACTTGGCACCAAACCTCTTCTTAGGACCCCTTCAACCTCTGGGCCCCCCTAAAACGCTGAAGGCGATAAGAAAACCCTCGTCCAGGAGCCCGAGAGCCGCTGACCCTCCTAACACAACGAAGCCGGCCAACGTGCAACTTACCAATTCGGGAGGGCAGGATCAGCCACTTTGAGAAAACGGGCAACGAAGCCGCCGACCGCATGGCCAAGCTAGGTGCTGACCTCGGCAGGCACGACCCGCAAGATATGCTGGTCGCGAAAGGAATGCTGTATCTGGCCCGTCAGCTCGCCACTTTCATAACACGAGCCGGGGTGCATTACTCTGACCTTGGCGTTTACGATAATGTGGGCGCCCAGGGGCTCACCCTTATTTCACTTGAGGGCGGCGAAGGCCTGGAGGAGGACCTGGAGGAGCTTCGGCGGAGGGAGGCGGCGGAGGGGGGATCTGCTGCTGCTGCTGCCCCCCCCTGCCCCCGAGGACCCCTCCCAGGACCTGCCCGCGGTGCCCCTGGGCCCCGAGCTGGTCAGCCTGGCCAGTGACGCCCGCCAGGCCCCCTGGACCAGGGGGACCACCAGCTTCTCGAGTTCCCCGTGCTCGGCCAAGAGCTTGCCCCCATAATTGTTTGCTCCACCTGCAGGGGTTAAGCGACGGTCTCGGGTGGAGCTGGAGGCCTTTAAGTCTGTCTGTCCTGGGGCCCACGCGAGTTTGCTCGACCCTGGCCGCAAGAACACTCGAGCCGCGCTCCGTTCCAAGCACCCCAGTCGCGCCTTCGAGCTGGGCCCCTGGAGGTCGCCTGGGGAGCGGGGCTCGGGAGGTCTTTGGGGTGTTGACTGGCGGCCCAGGGGTCCAGCGACGAGGCCAGCGAAGCGATGGGGGTGCCTGGTGTGTGCTTCCCGATCCCCTCTGCTCGGCGGATTGTCTGCCGGCGCTCGGCTGACACGAAGCGGAGGCTCGAGGCCTCGGGGTCGAGCTCCGCGGAAAGCGCGAGTGCACCGATGTCCAGTTCGACGACGGTGGGCTTTTCTGCCCCGGGGGGGGGGTCCCGTCGCTGGCCCCTGGCAGGTCCTTGGCCGTCCTGCCAGGGTGACAAAAGAAGGCCCCTCTCCGATGGGCCCCCCTTGGGCTGTTTCAGCCGACTGTCGGATTTGTTCTCTTCCTCCCCTTTGGTGGCGTGCGATCCTCCTCCTCCTCCTCCTCCTCCTGCTCCTTGCCCTCCTCCTGCCATCCTCATCCTGCTTCTTCTCCTCCTCCTCCTCCTCCTCCTCCTCCTCCTCCTCCTCCTCCTCCTCCTCCTCCTCCTCCTCCTCCCCGAGGAACAGGCAATGACGGTTGCGGCACGAAATATGAAATACCGCAAAGGCCCATGCAGCCCCGAGAGACAGGTTTGCAAATTTCGTAAGGGTCCGGACCCTCAGTTTCCTGGGCGGTGTCGGGCGCTGCCAGGGTTTCCCGCACGGGCCTCAGGGACAGCCCCCTTGCTGGGGCCCCCAGAACGAGCCAAGAAAGCCCCGGGAGGCCGCGCAGACGGCCCAGGAGGGCCCAGAATCGCGGCAAGATCGCTCCAAGACGCTCACGATGGCCTCCACACGGCCCAAGACGCCTCGAAGACGCCCCAAGAGGCCTCCAAGAACACTCCCAAGAGGGCCACAAGAAGCAAACAGTTGTGACTTTCATATGTTTTTGAATGGTTTTGGCGTTTTCGGTGTTTCGGCTTCCCGACGCTCCAAAACGACCCAAGAGACACCTAACACCGCCCCGAGCCAGCCGAAGAGTCCTCCAAGAGGGCTCAAAACGGCCCAAGAGGGCCCAAGACGGGCCAAGAGGCCTCCGATACGGCCCACGAGGTCCCTAAGACGGCTCCAAGAGGGGACCCAGACGGGGAACCCGACCCCCAAACTGCCCCCAAGAGGCCCCCAAGAGCGCCCCGAGAGACCCCAAGGATCATCTCCGAGGACTCTGACCCACAACCCGGGCAGTGGGGGGAGGGGCCGAGGACCATTAAACCATAAGCACTAAAACTCTGAGGTCCGCGCAGGCTCCCCGGATCGGGGCCAAAGCCTCCCTGGCGGCGCCTCGGTCGCCGCCCCTGCGGCGCGCTCCGCGCGCCGGGGAGCGGGGTCCACTGCGCCGACCCGAGAGGCCCGCGCGGACCCCCGACTTCTTCTGCTCGTGCCCTTGCTTCCTGTTGCCCCGTAGGGAACCGAACTCTACACACCGACGCCTGTTCCAGCCCTGCACCGAAATTCGCACAGGAAGGCGGATCCTGGTGTATACGAGGCCCTGGTGTACGCATTTTCCGCCGGTTCCTGGGAAACGGCACAACAGGTACACACCACACCACCCCGACGCCGCCCCCCCCGACCCTCAAAAGAGTCCTGGGATGGAAGGAGAGCCCGCCACTGGTGGTCATGTAGATGTTCCGGCTTCCGCCCCTAGGTACACCTGCCTCCCGACTCCCTCCTGCCTCCGCCGCGTCCCCCGCGGAGCTCAGGAGGAATAGCCGCTGACCCCCACCTTCGGGTAGTCGCCCGCCCGGCCACCGCCGAACGCGACCGAGGCGGCCTTCACCAGCTGCTTCACGAAGTCCGGCTCCTTGTCCTTGGCGCCGCCCAGTGCCCGGAGCTGCTGGCGGAGTGCCCCCGTGCGGCTGAGGAAGTTCCCGTACCAGGACAGCTTCTCGTCGTTGTCCTTCGAGTACTGGGTCTTCTGGGCGGCGGCGATCTGCTTCATGGTGTCCGCGACCTTGGACTCGTCGGCAGCCAGCTTCACGTCGAGGCTCATGAGGGCTTCCACCGAGCAGCCTTCCTCCAAGCAGTCCTGGATCGCGGCGTTCGTCGCCTCGTTGACCTCCAGCATCGGCTCAGGGACGTCGCCTGCGGCGCCACCGTCACCCGCGATGTTCACCTTTCGGCGACTCCAAAAGGTGTGGTTTGCAAAAGGTGTGGTTTGCAACCAGCACCCCGGGGAACATCCTGGGGGGCATCCTAGGGAGCGCGCGGGGACCTCAATGGAGTTCTCCCGCGCCCCGAGGAGGCCCGACGAGGACAGTGTCGTGCCCCCCAGGCTTCTGTTGCTCCCATCGTACTGAAGGACCACATCCCAGAAATAATTTCGAGCACCCGGAACAGTGTCGAAAGAGTGTCGAAACAGTGTCGGACGAGTCTCTCCCAGGGTCCGACACGCGAAAACACTTGAGTCCTTGGGTATGTTTCTGTTGCTCGAAAATTCTTTCTGGTGCTCAAGGCTGAAGCAGGTGGGAGCATCCCAACCCCAGGCCCCAACGGTGCCGATCGCAAACCACACCCCGGCGTGACTGCACCTTTTGTAGCCGCCGAACCTTGCCGCTGTCGAAGGCCGCGCGAGCCCCCCGAGCTGCGGGGGCCGCCAGCGGGACCCCCACGAACGCGGCGCGCAGGCCGGCCAGGAGGCACAGCGCCGCGAAGAGCGAGGATCCGCGGCGCGCCATCGCAACCCTCCGGCGGACTTCGGGTGTCGCTGCTGGGGAGCCCCAGACACGACCGCGCCGTAACAGACATCAGGACGGCAAGCGTTTCGCCACTCTCGGCCCCCGGGGGCCCTCGCCGAGCCCCCGGGGACCGTGAACAAGAACGACTGAGGTTCAGTCACCGGCCCCGGGGGAAAGGGTCTGGACTTCTGGGGGCGCCGTCCTGAAACAATCAGGACGTCGCATGTCTGGGTCCCGCGTCCTCGTTCTCGCCGTCGCCGTCGTCGTCGTCGTCCTCCTCCTCCTCCTCCTCCTCCTCCTCGCTCACCTCCTCCTGCTCCTCCTCCTTCTCCTCCTCCTCCTCCTCCTCTTCCTCCTCCTCCTCCTCCTCCTCCTCCTCCTCCTCGTTCACCTCCTCCTGCTCCTCCTCCTCCTCCTCCTCCTCCTCCTCCTCCTCCTCCTCCTCCTCCTCCTCCTCCTCCTCCTCCTCCTCCTCCTCCTGGACTCCGAAGCCGAACCCACATGGCTTGCGGCAGAAGGGGGCAGCGGGTGCCTGGGGGGGCCACGGGTGCGTGCTGGCAACAACGGGTCCTGGGCCCCGGCGCCTTCCCCCCACGAGGGGGCCACATGCGAACCCTACCCCTACCCCCCACGATTTCTGAGGGGGAGGGTGGGGTTCACTTCGCTCGGGAGCTCCCGAACGGAGGAAGGAGGGAAAAGGAGGGAAAGAGGGGCGGAGAGGAGGCTTCGGCCACGCTCGCAGCACATTGACGTAGCCCTCCGCTATGACCTTCGGTGTTGTCTTTGTCGGGCCACTCCTGGACGAATCACACCCACACGGAGCTGCACATCATGGATCATCTCGGCAACGCGCCTGCGTGCTCACTCCCTGCGGGTGGCACTGCCAAACTGGCCGCAGGGGGTCCCCTCTCCCTTCCCCTGCCCTCCCTTCCCCCCTCTAGGGGGCCAGATGCGAACCCTACCCCTACCCCCCACGATTTCTGAGGGTGAGGGTGGCTTCACTTCGCTCGGGAGCTCCCGAACGAAGTGAACCCCACCTCCCCCTCAGAAATCGTGGGGGGTAGGGGTAGGGTTCGCACGTGCCCTCTACCCTCCCCCCCTCCCCTCCCCCGCTCCCCGCCCTGCGCAGCGGTGGGCTTGGGTATCCCCACTGTTCCCGTGCTGTGCTGCCGCCACCCGGCCTCCGCCCTCGCTCGGCCTGCAGACCGTCCCACCGAGGACTTCCATCCACGCGTGGCAGCCTCGGTCGCCTTGCCGTCATTTGGGGGTAGGCTGCTGTGCATGCATGTGGGCTCCGGCACGGCTGATACTTACCAGGGCTGAACCTACACGGTGCTTTCCGTGTTCGTTTTGTTTTCGTCTTCCGTCGTGCTGTCCTCAATCCGTCTTCACCGCAAGAGCAAGACGAAACGAAAACGGCCCACGAGATCGCAAAGACACCGTTGAGATCCAGACCTGGCAAATTGCTGCGCGCCGGGGGGGGAGGAGGAGGAGGAGGAGGAGGAGGAGGAGGAGGAGGAGGAGGAGGAGGAGGAGGAGGAGGGAGGAGGAGGAGGAGGAGCTCTTTCTGAGCTCTTTCAGGCCGCCACTTCGTGGCTCGCCTGCGCGAGCGCGCTCTGGGCGCGCGTGCGCAGGTCGGCCGCCCACAACAGTGCTTGCACTGCGCGCAGGCGGCGCGGGCCAGGAACGCCAACCCCAGGGGAAGCGCAGCTATCTTCGCACACCGCGCAGCCCCGCGGGCTAGGGGTCCACAGGCCGCGTACAGCTCTAAGCATTACACAGCCACAGGCCGAAACTCAGAGCATCTTCTTGTCCGCCCCCTCGTCCTGCTGCCCCGCCTTCGTGTCGCGCTCGGCCTCCCTCGCGGCCTCAGCTGCCCCCTGGCGCGCGGCCGCCGCCCGCAGCAGCGCGGCCTGCGCCGTCCGCGCCGCGGTCTCCGTCGCGCGGGCGTCCGCGTGCGCCGCGGCCAGCTGCGCGCGGGCGTCTGCGGCGCGGCGCCGCGCGTCGGCTAGCCGCTCGGCCCTCGGCCCGCCGCGCGCGAGGGCCTCCTCGCCCTCGGCCGCTCGGAGCCGTCGCAGCCGCGCGCTGGGCTCCTTCGCCTGCAGCGCGAAGCCCGCCAGGTCCGCCCAGCGCCGCTCCGCAGCCTGCTCCTCGCGTCGCTGCCGAGCGGGAGGGGGCGGTGGCCTCGGCTTCGGGCGGAGCCTCTCGGCTTGCGCCTGGCGCCTAGCCTGGGCGAGGCGCTCCGTCGCCGTCGGCGGGTCGGCTGCCCTCGCCGCCTGTCCCGCAGCTGGCTTCAGCGCCCTGGCCTCGGCGTGCTGCGCGACTGGCGGCGTCAGCTGAGGCGCGGCCTGCGCCCTCGGGGCCTCCGCCGCGGCCTGCCGCTCCTGCTGGTCCAGGCGCGCGCGCAGCCGCGAGAAGCGCCCCGCGTCGGCCGTGGCCTGCGCCCTCCGGCTCGCCTGCAGCTGGTCCTCCACCTTCTCGTAGAAGGCGTCGCGGTCCTCGGCCTCCGCCCGCTGCTGCCGTTGCCGTTGGTCCGCCTCGTGGCGCTCGGCCTCCGCGCGCCGCCGCCGCCGCAGTCGGTCGAGGTAGGCCTCCGCTGTCAGGGGCGGGTCCTCCTCGTCCTCCGCGGCGCGGCGCTCTGCGCGCGTTCCCGCGGGCTGCAGCGCCTCGGCCAGGGCGGCGCCGAGGCGGGTGGGCGCTGAGCCGCGGTGGCTGCTGAGCGCCGCGAAAGCCGCCAGCAGCCGCTCGACGGCGCGCCCCTCCGCGCGGCGCTGCTGGGCCCTGCGCGCGGCGGCGGGCCGGTTCGGCCGGCGCCTGCGAGGCGCGGCGGCCGCCTCCATGCCGCCAGGGAGGGTGCCGGGACGGCGGGGGGAAAGGGGAGGGGGCGGCGGCGCCCGGCGGCGCCCGTGGCGCTGGCTGGCCCCGAGCACCGCGCTCGTGCCAGCTGGCGCTGGAGGAGGAGGAGGAGGAGGAGGAGGAGGCGGAGGAGGAGGAGGAGGAGGAGGAGGAGGAGGAGGAGGAGGACGAGGAGGAGGAGGAGGAGGACTCAAAACTCAACTCGACAGACCCCCCCGGCCGGAGAGGCACGGCCGGTCCCCCCGAGCGCTGGTGCGCGAGGCTCCGTCGACGGGCTCGCTCTGCCCAGGCTGCCCGGGGGGCCTCCCCTGACGAACGAACAACACTCGGGGGGACGTAAGACCTGGGTACAGGGGACTCGGAAATCCCCGACGAGGTCGTCAAAAAAGTGACGAGGCCGAGCCTGCATTTTGACGAGGCCTCCCGCTGCAGACATCCCACGAGACTCCTCCTCGTCAAAATCCGAGGCGCGGTCGTCAAAAAACGATGGCGAACCCGAGTCCTGGCAAACCCGGGTCTTACGCTCCCCCGACCATAGGGAGGTCGTTGGGAGGAGGACTGGCTATGGGTATGGGTGCGGTTTTGTTCGGTAACAATGAGGGAGCGCTCCCGTTCGAGGCGGGAACCACCTCCGTCAAAACGCACCCATAGCCCTCTAGTGCCCCTATGTTTTAATGGGGTTTGTGTTGTTGGTTGTCATCCCGGTTGCTACAGGTCGTCGTTCGTCCCGCGGACGCGCTGTTGGGAAGCAGGGTTTGGCAAGTGAGCTGCTGTGGAGGAACTGACTGGAGGAGGGCAAGCGGGAGGGACACCGATAAGGACCTCTTTCGACGGCCTCGCTTTGCCCTCAGGAATGTGGAATGCCACCAGGATACACAACCTATCCTGCCCTCTCCTCAGCCTCACTCCTCATCCTCAGAACTATCATCCCTCCTTTCCGCCTGCCCCTCATATCTCCCCAATCCTCATCATCTTCCTAATCCTCCTCCCTACTCTACTTCTCCTCTCCGCAATCATCATCATATCAAGATCTTCATCATCATCATCATCCTCTTCATCATCATTCATCAATCTTCATCATCATCATTTTCATCATCGTCATCATCATCATCACCACCACCAGCAGCAGCATCATCATCAGCATCATCGTCATGATCATCAGCATCATCATCATCATCATCATCATCATCACCATCATCATCAGCATCATCATCAGCATCAGCATCAGCATCAGCATCAGCATCAGCATCAGCATCACCACCATCATCATCATCATCATCATCATCATCATCATCATCATCATCATCATCATCATCATCATCATCATCATCATAATCGTGATCATCATCGTCATCATCATCACCATCCTCAACCTCAACCTCATCATCATCATCATCAGCATCATCATCATCCTCATCCTCATCCTCATCCTCATCACCATCCTCAACATCCTCCTCCTCCTCATCATCATCAGCATCATCATCAGTGTCATCAGTATCAGCAGTTTTATCATCAGTATTATCATCAGAATTATCATCGTCATCGTCATCGTCATCGTCATCGTCATCATCATCATCATCATCATCATCATCATCATCATCATCATCATCATCATCATCATCCCCCTCATCATCCCCCTAATCATCCTCGATTTCCTTCTCCCCCTCCTCTTCCTCCTCCTCTTGCTCGTCCTCGTCCTCGTCCTCCTCCTCCTCCTCCTCATGTTGCTCGTCCTCTTCCTCGTGCTGCCTTTGTGGCTGGCTCTGGCCACACCCCGTTCGGAAAGCAGGAGAGATGGACTTGACAATTTTACCAAACAACCAAGATTTCGAGCCGCGAGGGAGCGATCTCAACCTTGAACGAGTTCTGCTGCAATGTACAATATGGGAATCATTTTGCACAATCGTAGCATCCCTCTCCCAATGCCACCTCTCGTTTGGGACCTTCTTGGAGCCCCAAGAGGGCTCTCTTGGGAGCCCTGGAGAGCCTCTTGGGGCCACCTTCGAGACTATCGATCAAAGGAGGGGGGGGCCTCCCTCGGGGGCCACGACCCTCGTGATGGGGTATCAAAAATGAGCCCTCTCAAAGGGGCGATTTTGGACGTTTGCAGAAAACCCGAGATTGTATAACCTCATGCCCGTGAGAATAAACACTAGGGGATAATAATGTTCGGGGTTCAGGGAGAGATAATAAAAGTAGCCCAGCAGACCTACCTCCCCGCTCCAGCATTTCAGGCTCCTTCTTTACTTCCTTCTCTCCCTTCCACGCAGCATAATCTCGAAGTAAGTGATGATCAAGAGGAGACCAAGCCGAGCACGTTTTGAGACATCCTTGGCGTTTAGTTTTCATAGAAATATCCTCAACAATGGCTTATCTCTCATGAAAATTGTTTTTTTGTAAGTGCTCGTGTAGGGTAGCTCATGTGCCTCAATTTCCATGGATAATCAACCCCAGAAATAAAAAAGTTCAGGCGAGCGTGGGGACAGAGAGAAATATAAAATAAGGAGAATACAGTAGAAGAATAATAAGAAAAAAGAAGAAGAGGAGAATAAGAAGAGGACGAAGAAAGGAAAAATCAAAAGTTCCAAATCTATCAATTTTAATTTACAAACGCTTTATGAACATTGATCTTTTAAGTGCTCGTGGGTAGCTCATGTGCTTCATTTTCCATGGATAATCAACCCCAGGGATAAAAAAGTTCAGGCGAGCGTGAGGACATATAGAAATATAACCTATACTATCAAAATACTAATAATAATAACATTTCTCTTAACTAAATCTTCTTCTCCACACAACAATTAATCTTATCCCACTAATCACCTATATCATAACAATCATAATATCAACATCTCTTGATGTTTCTATCTCAACCAACGTTTCTATATTTCTACTTCTTGTGATCTGCTCCATCCCTCGCATCTGGACAATTTAAATTAATTATGTGTGATGACTTAAATCAACTATAAACACTGAATTAGTGGTGGGTTAAAAACATCACATCCCTCTTCCCCCCCTTAATGACTCCCCAAACCACCCCACTATAACTCCTGACATTCCTTTAAAGCGACTCCTACATTTTTCTTCCAAAACCTTCCTTCCGATTCGGAAAAGGGGTTTGCCCTCCCCCAGCCCTCCTGGACCTAAATGGGGCGTGGGGCGGAAGGAAAGAGGCAGGTGCGGTTCTGGCGGCCCCGTCGGCTCTGGTGGCCACGAGGTCGAGCAGGTTCTTCCCGGCCATCTCGTTGGCTCTTTCCCATGTTGGGGCAGCGATGAGTGTTCGTCGGACCACGTTGTTGGTTGAGGCGTCTTCCTTGGGCCTGACCCAGACTGCTTCCTGTAATGTGGTATGTGCGTGATCTTGCTGATTTGTGGTCCACAGTATCGACGTTGGCGTCTGTGCGGGTCCTGTCGAAGACATTCATCATTGCAACGTCAACTTTCTCGGCAGTGTCTCTTTTCCATTGGTGGTCGGTTGCTGCCTGGTATGCCAGTGTAGTGGTGCTGGTAGAGCGTCTCCATCCATCCTCTCGGCGTGTTCGCCGGGATGAGCACCTGTCCGACTTCAAACGCCACGTAGGTGCACTCTTCGGATAGTGTTCCGGGTTCCTCTTACGAATCACCCACGACCCAGCGGGTCGTAGATGGGTTGAAGTCGATTGGTTCTTGGTCGACATCGAGGAGCAAGCAACGGCATGAACAGCACCATTCGGAGGTCCGCGCGGATTTCTCGGGTCTGAGCTGGACCCCCTCGTACGCGTGGAGGCGCCAGAGGCGCCGCCAGGGGGGGCCCGCGCAGAACGACGACATCTGCGCGGACCGTCGAAATCCTATGTGTTTTATGTAGTCACGATGCCACGCGCCAGCGCCCCCAATTTCGGAGGAAGAGGAGATAAGCCTGTGCACCGAACGTGGCCTGGACCATCCTGGGCCGAAGATCGGCGCACACGCCCTCATAGCTCGGCCAGGGAGGCTCTGGCCATCGCTCGGACGTCCATTCCCTGTGTTTTTTTTCGGTTTCGTGCGT